AAAAATTAGCTGTTATATTTAAAAAACACAGGATTAACAGGCGTTGTAGTAATGATATTTTAGAACTCTTAAGATCAGAAGGTTCAATTGTACCAAAATTCTTTTCAACGCTTTTGAAAACATATAAAACTTCAACAATTGATGATAGCGAAATGCTATAAATTATTTTATATTAATTTTAGTTAATTTTAGATATGCTAAGTTATATTAAGTTAAATATTTAAATTAATTTTCATTATGTTTTCTTAGTTTTTAAGTTTTATTGTTTAATTTAATTTATTTTTAATGTCTTAATAAAATTTATAATTTACTTTTAATTTTGAATGTAATGTAAAAAATTATTATATAAAATAAATAAAAGTACAAAATACAACAATTTTTTTCTACTTATTTAAAGAGAAAATTGAAATTTATTTAAAATTTAAAGAGCGCAATAAAAGAGTAGAAATAAAAAAAAGGGTGAAAAAATTATATGAGCACTGCACTAAGAGCGCACAACTTTCTGTCGAATGCGTCCGTTATGCAAGACATGGTCTTCGAGACGGTCTTCGAGACATGTACGCAAAAATTCATTGAAGACATTTGGCTAATTTGTATGAAAGTGTCTTCGAAGACCGTCATACATTTGGATCGATCGGTCTTCATGTATGTATCCATGTCTTGAAGACGTCTTCGATGACGGATCGATCCGTTTTCTATTGGGTGTGTTACGGTAAATGTTAATGTAATTTACGGATATTTTTTTTTGTTGTGTTGCTATACTCTTACATATGTTGTAAGAGTATCTGAGCGAGTACTTTTATGATGAATGTTATCTAACCAAACTTCCAAACGTTGACCCGAAAAGAACGTTATCGAAAATAGCGGTGAAGAGCGGGGATATAAAGAAAAACGTGGGTCAGTTTTTTTGAAAGTCGAATAAGCAACATCGTGTGCTTATTAACAGATAATATATAATATGTTTAGTTTATTTATTTGGTCTATATTACATCAATTATTCTTTAATCTTCGGCACATTTAATTTAAAATTCTTATTTAAAATTCTTTAATTTAATTCTAATAAACTAATTATTTTCCTTTGATATAGTTATAATTATTATGTGATTTACAAAATTTTGTAGAGTAAATAATAAAATAAATATTAAATTTGTAACGTAACTTGCATGAGTCTTTTATTTAATATACTTAAATATTAATGGTTTTTGTTTTAACATTATCTTTGTTTTCTCTTGCTTAAAAACTACTAAATACTACTAAGTATTTTATTATTTAATATTTTAAGTATTTTAAATATTTTTCAAAGTTCTTACTGTTTATATTTGACATTTTTCTTATTAAAACTTGTATATGGGTCATTCTTTTACAACTCGGATACCTTTTTGACCTCATGATCTTCGATTTGGCTGAAATTTTTATGAGCTCCTTTCATAAAATAAGAAGACCCGTATCTCGGGAAAAAATTTTTTGATTTTTTTTCTAGGAGATATGGACCCATGCGGTTTTGAGAACTGGCATAGTAGACACATTTTCAAATAGCTGTATCTCAAGTTCTATAAAAGGTAGAAACTTGAAATTTACAGCGTTGCAAAGATAATTGATTGAGCTTTTATAAAATTGTTTAAACAATTAAAACTATTTATATTTGAGTACTAATATTAACTATTAAATTTCAAAAAAAATTTTCTTAAAATATATCCCCTGGGATTCCATTTTTTATACTTTATTTAGATTCAGTTTTGAATTTTACTACCAAATAAAAATTTTTAGGATGCGGTTATTTTTTGAAATTTTTTAATATTTTTTTTTCTCCCTCAAAACACATCAAGCACATGCGTACTACATTTTCATTGAATGTATTTTCAAAGAATACACTACATATATTCTTATATAATATTTTTGATTTCGATTAATAATAAAATTCTACATAAAACCCAAAAATTTCAGGACGATATTGTGATTAGAAGTACTTTTAAAAATTTATTTATCTTTCATATCACACCAAATTTTTCAGTAAAAAAAAAAAAAGGCATATGTCACAAAAATTTTTTTTTTTTAGTTTTGATTCAAATTAATATATAAATTCTACTTCAAAAATAAATATTTCAACTGTGATATTCATTTTAGAAGTAATTAAAAAAAATTAATTAATCAGGCGTCCTTCACGTTACTCATACGCACCAAAGTACCATGAAATCAATTTTCGAAGGAAAACGATACAAAAATTTTTACTTTTTATTTCTAAAATAAATGTATACATAAAACATAACATTTTAAATTAGTTCCGCATCATTTCTGTTTTTAAATTATGAATTTTAACATAATTAAACCGTTTAATAAACTTTTTTCTTATATAGATGAATTAAAAAGTTAATTAGTTTCATACTAGTCGAACTACCTAGAAAACTGCAGCACATAATCACACCTACCTTTTTCGGTGAAGTGTTATTTTGCTACAGTTGGAAAAATACTCTGTACAGGTAAGAAATGTTATAGGCGGTAGCAGATTCATTCAGTCTTTGTTTGTTATGTGTTAAATCTTCTCTGATGTGCTCTAGGGTTCTCCTCCTTAAGTAAGTTCGTTTGACAGCTTCGCACAAATCGTTTATTGTAATGTAGTGTCTATTAGCAATATTATCGTATGCTATGCCTACTAACCGTTGTTTTACACAACTTACAATATATTGTGCTCCAGCTTGAGGTAAAGCTTGTTGCACTAGTTCGCAACCAGCTTCAAATTTATGTACCTCACCCCTTAGCTCCGGGCCTTCTGTTCCCGCGAAGTATGGAACCACTTTAGATACTGTTTCCATAATTACAATTATGGACGTCATTTTTCGTTCAGTTTCTAATTCTTTTTTATTTGTGGAACCCTTTTCCGTTATTTTATCACTTTTATTTGTTTTGGTCATCTGTTTATTTTCGTCGATATTACCTATCTTTTTCTCTTAAATTTTCTGATCCGTATTATAATATCGTTCTAGCTCTTCTTTTAACTGTCTTACTTGTAGCACGAGTTTCTTTATTGTTTCTTCCTTTTCTCTA